GCAGCAGCAGCACACAGGGCCCCGCGCCCCCGGGCAGCCCCAGCCCTCCTGGAGGCAAAGAGGAGTCCGGGTCCGGCCGCGAGGTGGGCGGCACCGCCCCGCCTGCTGCTGCTTCGCTGGCCCGCAGCAGCGCACGTTCATTTCTTCTGAAGAAATTTCATTTTACTTCCTACGGAGAAAAAACAACATTAGGAGCTGAAGACACTCCAGGAGCCATCTGGCTGAGTAACTTCTTAAGGTGGAAATTCATGGGTGGCCACCTCTGCTGGCAGACACGACTTCTGCCCCCTTAACGTCTTCTCAGCCAAGACCAAAGCTAAGAAACAAGTTTAGACAGCTCTAGGATTAGGCAACTGCCACAAACTTTTATCTAAAGATACAAAAGCTTAAAAATAAAAGAAAAATCTTACAAAGTGTTCGGCGTTCCCCAAGGGGCAAATGTAAACAAAAGGAACACAAGCACACGACACAGAATGGGCCCTGCTCTCTTTTACATGCAATTGTTTGTTCCACAGCTAATTAAAAAAAAAAAAAAAAATCAACAAAAAGCAAGGGTGTCCCCTTTACCAAGACTGCGAAGGATTTTGTTCATTCCAGTTGGTTCTGTCTCTGGAATACTCTCCAAATACTCCAAGGCACGGACCTCAAAAAGGCCTAAAGAGGAAAAAAAAAAAAACCACAAACCACTCACCTACTAGATGAGCTATTCTACCTTTTAGCATGTGGCATCTTATATCATTAACAAGGAGGTTACGAAATGGTGCACATAATGTAAGCTGTAGGATCAAGCCCAGAAAGGAGAGAGATGGAAAAATTCTTTGCCTCATAAGGTGAATTCCGTTGAGTAATTAGAAGGGCATGGAGCTATTACATACGCCAAAATGCCAACAGGATAACTTGCCAGGACAAAAGGCTTAAGAGTCAAAGTCACAAGACATTATACTTTGAAAGTGAGTTTGTAAAACAAGAAAGTAAGATCAAACCTCACCTTTGACTACGTTCTTACTTAGCTCTCGATCCTGTATGAAACCCGCAAACATCTGCGTTTCCATGAAGAAGTGCAAGAAATGACGCACATTGCGTGACACATGAGATTTACGGAATAGTTCCCGCTGAAACACCCGCTCCCCTTTTTCTGTGACATTCATGTGCAGGGAGTAGTGTCCAACGATCTCCACAAAGAACTGCACAAAAGCTTCAGAGACCAGGGAGTTAAGAGGCATGTCACCTGTGAAGAGGACAACAGAGGAGAAATTTCCCTCTACATTCATCACTTTGGTCATTCCTCTTATAAAAGAGGAGCAGCATTTACTTTTTAGACTGTCTGTCTCAGATGATGAAATTTCAGATGACTGACTGATATCAAAGAAGCCACAGCTCAAATATTAAGATTTCTCTCCCATGTCACCTTTCTGCTGCAGCTGAGACAGGTTCCATTCTAAAACTTTTCCAGTAGATAAAGCATTCATAATTTCTTTTCCCCTGTCAAACATCTAGTGTCTAATAAGCTGTAAGCTCATAGCAGTCTAAGTTTAATTCTCTTAAAGAATTAGGCAAATTACAGAACACAAACCCACTGGAAAACTAACTTTGTTACTTCTGATGTGCATGGAATTACATAATTTGCCGATGCCATTCTCTCAAGCTACTCAATGCTTTGTAAAATTCTCACACTTATTTATCTGACATTTCATGTATAAAGCAGTTCAACTTTGAAAATGATCTGTCAGATTACCCGCTAAAGTACAGAAACTTGCTATGTTCTCTGTTTAAGAAAAATGTTCTCTCTGCCACTTAAGAAAAATCAAAGAAAACTCAAAGCATGGGAACTGATGCACTTGGCCCAAGGAAAACTAGAGCTCTACACATACTGATTGTGAAAAGAGGAACAATTGTTAGGACACCAAACTTCTTTCTAACACATTCACAAGAAAGATGTTCTCAGTAAGATCACAGGGAAACAGCTTTCTAAAATGTCGCTTCCTAATGTTTATTTCCATTCGCTCATTTTTATATCAACTACATGGAAGCTGTAGAGATTTGTTAATGTGAAAACACTTTTCCATAGAAGTACCTTGTGTGTCACTCTGCTCATGTGACAAGATTTCACTTCGTTCTTCCAAGATTTGTACAAGCGCAGCCTGGAGTTTATGAGGCAGGATCTCATCTTCATCTGATACCTGAAGAGAAAAACGGCCATGAAAGCATTTTTGTGTTATATCTATCATTAGTAGAACCTTCTCATTGTGAACAGATGAGAAATACTCATAACATGCCCAAACAGTTAGAGGGAAGTTACTCTGTGATATGGTATATCTTGGTAGAGACAATACATTTGTCTTGTAGCCACAGAAATGAAAAACATTTGCTCAGCACCCTCCGACGACATACTGTTAGTCACACACACAACTGGCCAACAGAGAACAACCTGTGCTATATTCACGACACAGACTCAGGCTTCTTATACCAGTGATAAAACACACAAGAACAACAAAAGTCTGTTGAGAAAATATGACAAGTTTCAACATTATGATTAAAAAAACCTGATCCTTTAATACCTTTCTCCAGTTGCAGGCTGCAATGCAAAATAGAACAGTAAGGTGGTGTGGTTTAACCTCAGTCGGCAACTGAGTACCACACAGCCGCTCGCTCACTCCTCGCCTTGCCTTTCCTAAGGCAAGGAAAAGGAGATGCAAGTATCCTCCTGAACTAGTAATACTCCAGTATGTTTATAGCTACTTGTCTGGTGATGTAGAAGCACATTAGGTAAAGTTGAGCAGAGAACCACAAGTGAACTGTGACAATTTGTCTCCTAGACTATCACTCCTGGGGAAAAAAAAAACCAAAACCAACAAACACACCCCAGCTAGATGAGAGAGGAGAAAACCCTGTAGAGAACAAGTACACAGGAAAGACAGCCAGAAAGCAGCAAAGAATCTTAGTGGTCCACTTCACATAATGAAACAACTAAGCATCTGTTTTTAAATTCAGCTCAGATAAGCAGCATCTTTGGCTTTGCAGAGCTCTGTACCTCATGCAACCTCAATCTTGCAACAAAGATTTGTAAGCCTGTTCCCTTCTCTATTGATCAAAAAGGAATGCAAGATATTTCTTCAGCCACTGGAGTCTACATATGAATACTAGCTTTTGCTGATTTATTGTTTTCATTTTCTTTCACTGGTGCCTTTTCCTGGCATATAACCATGAGTGACCGGTACTGTTATTTCACTCACCTCTTGCAAGAACTTGTCAGCACAAAGATCAACAATCAGAACCTGGGGAAAGATGTACAAAACACACTGACTCTTACAACCAGGTATGTTGCTGTACAGAGAAAACCACTTTTTTTTCTTTTTTTAAATGTCCCCAGTGGCAGGGGATGTCACACACAAAACACAAGTTTTGCATAACTGCAGCCTGTCTATAAGAACAGTGAATATTATTTATCTTTGATAACAATGGAATACCCTGACGTGTATCTGGCAAGTTCACCAACTGTCTCAGAAAAGTTTAGGAGTTTATATTACAGAATCCACAGAGATTATTCCAGAGAGTTCAGCCTCATACCACTGACATCGTCCCTCCACTGTGCTTCACCCAATTCTCACCTCTTCTATGGGCAGGTCCTGGAGCTGTGGTAACGAGCAGGAGAGAATGCCAATTAAGAATGGGGTCGGAGAGCACGCAATATCAATCATAGAAGTTGGTAGGACTGGTATGTAGGTGTGTTGCCAAGTGAAGGGATAAAGCGTTGCAACTGCGGCATGGCCACATTTAGACAGAGTGCTACAAAGGTAAGAGAAGCACAGAGGGGATTGTCAATGTCTTGTTCAGTACTCAGCTACAGACACAGGTTAGAAATGCTCAGGGAAAATGTAATCCACAGACATTGTTTATGCATCAGCAGAAGCCCCATTCATCCACTTTTAAAGTCAGTTATGGGGAGCTAGGAATAGCATCAACCCAGACTAAAGAGGTAAAGGAAACACTTCCTTATCTCCTCTTGGGTAAATAGCATACTCCAAATTCTAAGCATGCACATGTTGTGTGGAAAGTCTGCAAAAA